CGGGCATATTTTTCAAGCTCGCCCGGTGTGGATGTGCACTCAGAGTAACACCACAAATATCATATTCACCTGAGTACACTACACCAACACAGAAAAAAATTCATATTACTAGAAAACATTGGTATCGAAGGAACTAGATTCTGTTCCGAAATATCACTTACTCGAACTGTCCTGACCGCGTAGCTCAGTTGGAAGAGCATTGGGCTAGTATTCCAAAGGTCGTAGGTTCGAATCCCACCGTGGCCGGGCATATTTTTCAAGCTCGCCCGGTGTGGATATAGACTCAGAGTAACACCACAAATATCATACATATATATATATATATATATATATATATATATATATATATATATATATATATATATATATATATATATATATATATATATATATATATATATATATATATATATATATATATGTATATATACATATATATATATATATATATATATATATATATATATTCGCTAGTTTTAATTATTTTAAACTTTTAGGACCATTATGGTACATTAGTAGAATAGAAATTCTTACTCATATATAGTGTAATTTTAAATCTCAACAGTTGTTACGCGCATTTGATCATATATGAATGTAAATTTGCGCGATATAAGCATTAAATTATTATTATTATTATACAGACAACAAATTGATTTTGCGATGTTGTGAATCGTTTTCAACTAAAGCAAATAATTACTTAAGTTAACCTACTCGCATAATGTTAAGTTTTAGAACTATTTATTAGATGTATTCCTTACAAACAAACCAGAGAAATCCAGTATGTCTGGTGTCCTCCATGATTACAGCCTCATCAGTGGATGCAGAAAAATTGCACTATGAGTCTATGTCAATCACCTCCACAGGTTGTGAAATGCAGAAATTACAAACAGTATAGGTCTTCTGCTATCATAGGTACGTCAGACAAGCTATCATTCACATATGAACATTCAAGCTTTCATATGTGAATGATAGTTTGACATGTCTTGTTCATATGTGAATGATAGCTTGTCTGACCCAATAGGTCAGACAAGCTTGTGACGTATGCTTGTGTTTTGTTGAAATTATCGTTAGGGTTCGCTGTGGCATAATCAATATAATATATGCAAAATGACGCGTAAAGAAACGTTTTCTGTACGTTGAGATGTAATATGTCTTGTGTAATGATGTTCAAAATTGTCCTGAGTTTATATTAAATATTACGATAATACAGTCCATCGAAGTTTTTATAACATGGTCCTTTGAGAGCCGGATTACCGGCAATTCTAAATATATTATCACGGAGAATATTGGATTTGAGCCTGTGGTTTATTCAGAACATTTCGAGTTGGAGTCTGGAATTTGAACAAAATTTGAGCAGTAACGTGAGATCTACACTAGTTAGTGGGGTATTCACTTTTATAATCTTGGAGATACGAGCCTGGAGAACTTCTGTTGTTAAAAGATTTAAGGTTATTGGAGTTATTCTTATATAAATTTTCTGGTTATTTGTGGATTTTGGACGAATATTGTCTCTGTATTTAAACGCTGTTAGTATAATGAGCACGGATTTATCGAGGAAGAAAAAGTTAAGAGGGGCTCATCGAGCGTCCGCCACACGACTTCAAAAGACGGTGAGTGAAGTACTTGTTTCTTTTGACCCAAATAATCTGGAAGAAATTGTGCCCAAACTGAATCAACTTAAAACTAGCATGAAAGAAAAACTTGAAACTTTAAAGGTCCTTGTTGAGGAAATTCTTGAACTAGTTGATGAAGCTAATATTGAAGAAGAGATAGAACAGTGCGATATTTGTAGAGAAGGCTTGCAGTTGGCTTTAGAAAATGTAGAAAGAGCACTTAATACCTCCAGCATGTCTAGTTCAGCTATGTTATCGAATGTGACTGAAAATACAACAATAACACCCCACCAGTACCCAGTCAAGCCCCCACATCACCTCAAGGCTCTAGTACTAGCACTGCAAGCACGTCGTTACTACAGAATCAATATTCAAGTCAGCTTGATACATCAAATAAAAATGGAACGCCAAATTTGGATCAGCCTTCTATGTCAAGTGTGAATCAACCCCAACCAGTAGAGCACCCTACCAT